TTTCTTTTTAATTCCGAATTTTCTAATAAAATCAGAAAATAATTTTTAAAAATAATGTCTCTAATATATATCATTTACAAATGATTTAATGAGGAAAAACATGCTTAAAAATAACATAAACACTTTTATTTTTCTAATAATAGCATAAATTGTGAAAATTCACAATTAATTAAAATTATGCTATTCTTAATCTTTAAAAATCCATAATAACTAAACTTTTATGCTTAATAAAATTTAGATATCAATAATAAAATTTTCGGAATCAAAATCGGACTTAAGTGCCACAAATCTTACGATTGAAAATCGAAGATTTTATTATAATCTCTACTATTCTCGATTATGAATTTTTTTTTTTTTAACTAAATCTTGAAATACTTTACGTATTATCTATACTAAATTAATCACTCTTACTGATTTACCTTATAACTTTTTAATGCGGTAAATAACTTTTACTATGGTAATTAATTTTTACTACGGTAAATAATTTTTACTGCGGTAAATAATTTTTACTGCGGTAAATAAATTTTTACTGCGGTAAATAAGTTTTTACCGACTTACTAAAATATGGGGTATTACACGAGCCGTACTTGCCTGCGCGGTGTCTGCGTCAATTGGGGTATGTTCAGACTATCCCTCCCCCTACATACCCGCCAATCAGTGCAGTACGTGCTTGGGAGTCTAGGAACTACAGGGTTGAGCATTCTGAGGCTGCTGCAGTAGGTGCCTGGACCCAGTTCCCGATTTCTGGGACGGTCAACACCGCTATGTTCACAGTCGGGTTTATTTGCAGTGGTACAGTCGGGTTTCCCATCCGACTCTCATGGGTGAGGAGCTGCCGGACGAGAACGAGGTACCTACGCGTGCCAATACCGCCTATGTAAGTTGGTTACTAAATTTTAATTAATGTTAATAATTTTTTTTTAATAAATCTTAGTCATATTTTTTTATTCTTCCATTTTTTTAATGGGTGGACCGTCTTTTGGGCATTACATCGACCATGCAGCAGTTCCTTGTTGAATGTCCGGAGGCGGCGCAAGTCCAAGAAGATTTGGCTAAGTTCAAGTTGGATTACGACAATGTCCAATAATGATGTAATGAATTTTTATTTTTTTTTAGTATTATTTGTAAAACATTAAGTTGAATGGTTTTTTTTTTCTTGCTAAACTTAAGTTGAACTGATTCATTTTTTTTTTTTTATTTGCTAAACTTAAGTTAAATGAGAAGCGTCATACCACAAGTCAATAATATCGTTCTTTTGTTGCACCGAATAATATCGTTCTTTTATTCAACAAGGTCTATTTTGAACAGTAAACCACAATCGCAACCTAGCCTCGTACTGATTCTCCCACCCACAACCGATCGATCTCGGTAACGGAACCACATGGGATGAATAGGCGGTAATGGACAATCATGAGTTAAATCTAAACTAATTTAGTGTTCTACGGTACCAAGATGGCACATGACAATCTCACGACATGGTCCTCTAGCCGATGATCGTGCAATGAGAGGCAACATTGTGAGGCTGAAGAAGTTGTGCTGCCCACCTTGCGGACCAGAGCCCAACAGAACAACAACCGCATTAAATAGGGTCGCAACGACGTAGAGGTCCTGCGGAACTTCGAACCAGTTAGCTGGTCCACAAGGGCCCCGGCCCCACCTTACGCGACAGAGTCCGGTGTCGATATCTCTAAAATAGATGTACTCGTACAATCCACGGTGGCTGTCGACCTCCTTCGCAATGTTGTCTCTTGCATCTGCCCAGTACTTCTGGTGACCATACACGTGACTCGCGATGACCCGAAATCCGCAGTTACCATCTGCCCAGAACTGATTCAAGTACCGCATCGTCGCGGGATCGCGGGTTTCAACCTCACTCACAAGCGTCTGAAAGAACTCCGCATCTGACCACGCAGCCTGGCTCGCCTGGCTCTGATGACCAGTCCCTATAAGTATACGATAAAAAATTCAATGAATTAAACCAAATAATGTACTTTAATTACATAAATCGTAATTGAAAATGTAACAAGTATAAAATTATAAATAAAACATTAACCTTAAATTACCTGGCTCTAACATCTGTAGCATTCTCCAGAACTGGTGAATCATTCCGAGATCAATCGAAATTTTGGAATCAACAGCGGTACGGAGCCGACAGGCACAAGGAAGTCCATGAGTGAACTGCAATACACAGCCGCAGCTAGCGTAAACATCGTCGTCCAAGCCATGCATCCTCATAAGCTCAGCGTCCAATAAACTCAGATAGTAATGCGAGACCCCTCAGTATCACGCTCGCAAAAAGAATTCCCTTATACCGTGTATTCTTCTTAGATCTCGAGGCCTCAAGCGTCGTCCTGATAATACGTTACATAACGTTAGATTATAATTAATTAATGCAGTAATATAATAACGCATTTAAAAATTGCAGTACGTACTTGATTTCAGTCACTTGATTATCGATGTGCTTATTAATCTTCTGCCAAATTGTATCGAGCGCGCCGGTGGACGTCTGAAGCCACTCCTTCAGCACAGAGTGGGCACTCTCCACCCTACATGAAGTTGTGTTTCCAAAATGTGTCACTCGGTTGGTCCAAACCTTCACAAACTTCTCGCGGTGCCCTAACCATGTGCTCTCCACATACCGTGTCACCTCTGGAGACTTCGAATATTTTGCGTCCAGCTCGGCAATAGCATCGGTGTAGGTATCGAACGTACTGGACTCTACAATCGCCTTCCACGTACTGTGCGTAAAAATCTCCGAAAATTTTTTACTCTTCCCAAATAGTTTGTAGGCTTTGTCTTCCACATCCTTGTTGATGTGCCGCGTGCAGAGTAAGTGAGCTGATTCAGGAAAATGGCTCTGAATAGGAGTGAGTAAACTCAACTCTCTGTCACTAACAACAATATAAGGATATACGTCTTGGCCTATCAGTAGTCTCAACTTCTCTAGAACCCAGTCGTAACTGGCCTCTTTCTCGTCCCTGATGAGCGCATACGCAATTAGGACGTTCTGGTTGCACGGTGTCATCCCAATCATCTCGACCAACGGCATCTTGTACCTATGCAAATGAGACCAAAAAGACAAAAAATATAATCAAATAAAAGTTTACTTAATCAAACACACTATTTAAGATTCATACTAATAAAGTATTTATAAAGTAACATACCTGTTGGTTTTATACGTGGAATCTATGTCGTCATACCAGTGATATGTCCAGAATAGATTGATCGACGCAGGATGGGCCATGAATATATGCGTCAACGCTTTCGTGTTCGGATCGGATTCTGCATAAACTGTATACTCGCTGCTCACGGCCAAATACATAAGCTGGGAAGGAACGTCTCTACCGTCGAAACTCTCTTTCCGCAGCTTATATCTAAAGTTATATACCTGTCACCGATTAGCGTTAATTATAATGATTATTATAATTTTAAAAAAATATTATGTTAATAAATAAAAAAGTATATTAATGCGATTAATTTGATAAAAAATTTTTTAACTATCACAATAATAATACATTAGTAAATATAATAAAATTTATTAATTATTACAATAACTTTTACATATAAAAAATTACTAATTATCATAATTAACTTCAAAAAGTTAATTAAAACATATATTACAAGATATAAATATATATACCTGTCGCACATGAACGTTGTCTCCCGGATTTTTTTCCTTCAGCGCGGCCATAATTTTTGCCGGGGCCACCTGAGCGTCCGTCATATCACGAACAATTTTCTTAGATGAAGCGTTGAGGCCGCTCAACTGGCGATGACCCTCAGGATACACAACAAATGTATGGTTATGGTAGTCATTCTCTTCATTGCTACATCTATAGATCCTCCAGTATGGAGCGTCGGACACCTTTTTTACTTTGATCTCAAAATTGCAGCCACACCTATTCGTTTTTGTCTTTCTAGAATTTTCGTCTGTGTCTCTGTACCGTTCGCCTCTATGACACTTGAAAAGTCTGACCGTTTTCTTTTTGTGGCTCGAAATTATTAATAGGAAACCATTCAGCATTGCCTCGTGTTTTGCAGCTTCAATAGCGTCCTGAGCACTATTATATAATGTACATGTATCGAAACGCATACTGTAATCAACACCATCTCCTCCAAAATCTTCCCATGACTCCTGCTATATAGTACAATATTTATATTTTTAGAACATGTTAAATTAAGATAATTAATTATAGCATGTAACATAATAATTTGTAACTCATAACATTATATTATCTAACGTCCAATTTATAGCATAATGAAGTCTAACATGTAACACAATAATTTGTAACTCCTAACACGATCACGATAATATCTAACGTCCAATTTATAATATAATCAACTATAACATGTAACATAATAATTTGTTACTCCTAACACGATACTATCTAACGTCAATTTATAACATAACCAAGACTAACATGTAATATAATAATTTCTAACTCGTAACACGATGATATCTAACGTTCAATTTATATTATAATCAATATGTAACATAATAATTTGTAACTCCTAACACGATAAACGTCCAATTTATAGCATAATCAAGTCTAAAATGTAACATAATAATATAGTCCAATTTATAACATAATTATTTCGAATATTTAACATAATAATTTAAAAAAAAAAAAATTGTCCAGCCGGTCGAACCGGACGGACCGGTTCCGACCGACCGTCGTTTTCGGACGGCTTATAAACCGTCCGATTCCGGCGGCCGGACGGGCTAAAAGCCGTCCGGTTCCGGCAGCCGGACACAAAAATTTTCGTACCTTCGAATTTGACGACATTTCACCGTACATTTTCTTCTGAGATGTTTAAAAAAAATAAAAAGGGCAAATCGTCCAAAAAGAGCGGTGAGTAGTAAAATGGGGGCGGTAAATAGTACCACCCATACTAAATTAGTATTAAATTTTAAGTGAACCGGATATGGCCTAAGAGATGAACAACTAATCCAACTAAGAAGCCCAAACATTAAACTGGAAGCCCAACATTACAACTAGGGTTTCTTCTGTCTCTCCTATAAATGCTCTACTGGCGAGTCATGTAGACCTTCGCTCGTCCAGACTTTCCACTCGTCTCCACGCTGGCGTCTCCATTGCGACTCCACCAAGCACCCGATGTGGGCAGCAACTCCTTTTCGACCGCAACTCGCTTTAGATGCAACTGGTAAGATTCCTTTAATCTGTTTGCTTTCGACAACTCGCTTCCAATTTTAAAACCCGAATACTATAATCATTGATGCTTTTCGAGCTCAATTCCAAGATCGACATCAGTTCAGGCATAAATTTGCTGTTAGCGAAGGCTAACTCGTATTTTATCTGTTTATGCCGTTTCAGAGTGTTTCGGCTCTGTTTCTTCCCAATCTTATTGCTGTTTTATTTTTGTTCAGTAATTTTCCTGAACCCAGTCAGCGGCACATCTCCGTCAGAATCTACGGACCCTCTGCCATCCATTGCAGCGGAGCCCTTTCATGAGCAGGCGGTGATTTGACTTCACTTTACTTAAAATTATTTCTTTTTTTTTTTTCATGAGCGGCACATCCCCGATGGCTTGTAGATCAAGTTGAAGGTTCCCAGGGACAAGCTTACGCTTAACTTCAAGCATCTGAACCTCGATTTCTGGCTCATCACCGACGAGGCTACCGGAGAAAAGAAGCGGAAGGTGGACATGTGGTTTAGCAGCCGGAAAACAACCGCTGCCAGTCACTGCGTCCCGAAACTACCTTGGGGAGAAGAGGGTATGAGGAATTTATTGCAATTCTTTATGTTTTGTGCATTTTAACTTGTAGAATACTTTAACTGATGTTGTTTGTTTCGGGATGTTCAATTAAAATTGTTATACTATGACCTGTTACATTTTCACTGCATATGAATTGCCTTGTAATGTTTATTTATATTTTGTTGTCCCTTTATTATGGTGATGAAGCTCCATAGTCTATTGTGTCTACTTCTCTGTCTGGTAGTGCTGAGTAAACCGTTACTTTGCATTATGGTAATAGGGTTTTAGATGTTAGGATAAGATCATAAAAATTGCCTCTTTTTTGCTGTTTGCGACCTTTTAGCTCTGACTATTTCCATATTGCTGTAGCAAATGTAGAAAATGGAAGTGATGTTGGCCTATCCCAGCAGTGTACGTCTAGTGTACGTCTAGACAGGCATTTGAAATGGCTAAGTCCACCACCAGGTGTAATTATCAATTTATATTTAGTAAATTATCAATAGTTATGGATTCTACAGGGAATTACAAGTTTCCTTTTTTCTATTACTATCTTCTATCCTTTTTAAATGTCATTTTAACTTTATCAACTATTAACCAAAATAAATGTCAGTTTTGGATCTTTTGTACATATTTTTCCATTATTACCCTCATTTAGTTAATATTTTTCCATTATTACCCTCATTTAGTTAATAATACACTACGTCTTTTCATATTGTCTTTATCTTTTTTTAAAACATCCATCAGTATTAATGACGATTATTATTGACAAAAAAATATTCTTAATTAGTTTATTTTTCTTTGTGGGTTGCGACTCACCATTGGGCCAACAAACTCCCCAACATATTGTTGAGCTTCATCTGCAAGGAATTGTAGTTGGGCTACAAGCATACTAAACCCCCTGATTGTATCCTGTCTTTCAACACGTTATACCTCAGCCCAAAACCAACCAATAGGCCAAAACAATTTACAGGCCTTACCTCCAAACACCCAACCCCCACCTCCCATATCACTACTCAGCCCAATATGCATCATGTAATACAAAATAAAATATAATTAAATAAACATATTAAAACAATTACATGTATAAAGTAAAAAAAATTATGTAAATGAAAAAAATAATTATATTACAAAATAATGAAACAAAAGAAAACTTTAAGTAGATTAAATAAAACAAAAATAATGATGATATAATCAAATTGAAATAATGAAATCTTAACTAACATATAAAAATATGTTAAATAGTAAAAATAAGATACTAAAAATAAATAAATAAATAAATATATAATAAAGAATAAAATAATTAAATAAATTATATGCCATTAATAAAAATTACGATGACTAAATAACAAATAATTAAAAAAAGATAAATGAAAAAGTAAAATTAAACAAGATAAGATAAGATTTAGGTTTTGAGATTTTTTTGGGATACGAACTAAACTCTTAATTTCATAGAGTAAAAGAATCGTGTTTAAAATGATCATTCACAAGAAACTTAACTAATTTTTACAATCACGAAGTTTCCCATTGTGAAAATTATGATAATATAAAATAAATATATAAATAATAAAATTCAAGGTTTCGGGTTCAGGGTTCGGGGCTTTGAGGGTTGAGGGTTGAGGGTTGAGGGTTGAGGATTTAGGGGTCAGGGGTTTAGGGTTTAGGGTTTAGGGGGTTTGAGGTTTGGGTTTTAGGGTTTAGGGTTGAGGGTTCAAGGTTCAGGGTTCAGGGTTCAGGGTTCAGGGTTTTGGGTTTTTTAGGGTTTAGGGTTTAGGTTTATGGTTTTTCAGGGTTTAGGGGTTTAGGGTTTTAGGGTTCAGGATTGTAAGTAGATGATCGGTTATACACGGTTTTCATTCTGTTAATAATCGAATATTTATTCTCTGTGTTTTTTTCAAATGTAAAGGTTCTCACGAGTGATTACCTATGAAGAGTCTCGAGACTGTAAGCACTCGGGACAGTGATCGCAGCACTCGTCGCCGTAAAGGGACCAGTTCTAGAGTGTTAGCACTTTAGAAAGCACTCTATGTGTAAGCACTCTACTGTAAGCACTCCGGACAGTAGATAACTGATTATAAAGAGTTCATACAATTATTAACCGATTATTTACACTCTATGTGTTTTTTCCAACTGTAAGGGTTCTCGCGAGTGATTATCTTTGAAGTGTCTTGCAATTCACTCTATTACAATCATTTTCCAAAAAGTGAATATATTGCAATTCAATTTCTAAATCGTTTAACCAGGATTGTAAGCAATTCAATTTACTACAATCAATTTTCCAAAATGTGAATATATGCCCTAAACCATATACGATATACGGTCTAGACTGTAAATATGCACTAAATCATATATTTTCAAAAGTAACAGTTTTGATTCAATCGGTACATAGGTGTATATGTATCTTCTTCATTTTTGAAATAAAGTCCGAGGTGCATCAAAGGTTCTCACAAGTGATTACCTTTGAAGTGTCTCAGGTATTTGCAATTTTTTAAATCGTTTAACCAGGAATGTAATTAAGAACTAGCAGCAAGAACTTACCTTGATTAGAGGATACCTTGATTAGAGGATTTGGCTTTGCCATAGACCTGATAATCCTCGATCGTAATGTTCGGCTCTTGATTTAATATTCTTGCCATCTTTCTTGCCATCTTCCTCCAAATGTCTCTGTCATCGAATCAAGGTGACCTTCTGGAGACCACTTAATTTGGATTAATATGTCTAATATCCTGTCATCAATAGGATCATCCTTCACGATGAAAAAATTTGTTAAAATTATTCCCGAAAATTATAATCCTATTCCTTGTTGGAAATGCTTAATTCTTTGAATAAAAAGAATAAGATTATAATTTTTGGGAATAATTTTAATAAATTTTTTCATCGTGAAGGATGATCCTATCGATAACAGGATATTAGACCTATTAATCCAAATTAGGTGATCTCCAATGGAATCCCAATTCGATTCGATGACAGAGACATTTGGAGGGAGATACAAGAATATTAAATCAAGAGCCGGACATTACGATCGAGGATTATCAGGTCTATGGCAGAGCCAAATCCCTGAGGACACGGTGCAGGGTAAGTTCTTGCTGCTAGTTCTTGATTACAATCTTGGTTAAACGATTTACAAAATTGCAAATTCCTGAGACACTTCAAAGGTAATCACCTCGGATTTCATTTCAAAAATGAAGAAGATACATATACATCTATGTACCGATTGAATCAAAATTGTTACTTTTGAAAATATATGATTTAGTGCATATTTACAGTCTAGACCGTATATGGTTTAGGGCATATATTCACATTTTGGAAAAGTAAATTGAATTGCTTACAATCCAGGATAAACGATTTAGAAATTGAATTGCAATATATTCACTTTTTGGAAAATGATTGTAATAGAGTGAATTAGATTGAAGCTTTTTCCAGAGATGGTGCTCATACTTCAAGAAGTGGATGGCTAGGTCTGGGAGGTACTTTGCGAACTGGGGAGGGACCAACTGGGAATGGACAGAGAAAATAATTTTTTATGGCATTTCAGAGAAAATCCTTATGGCTGTGTGCAGGATATATCCTTGTTAGTGATCATTTGATTGCTCGGTTGTACATTTTCTTTGAGTTCTATGCAATGTTGGAAGTTTTCGTTTGAAAAAAAAAAGAGAAGGTATGGAAGGACGAGAATTTCATTGTGCAAGGGTGCTGTTCAGGCGTGGGTCGAGTTTGAAGGTGTCTTGTCTGTTTTCATTGTAATTGACAGAGGGAGTTTTTGTAAGAAGGTGAAAAGCTAGGGAGTTCTTCTCCAGTGGTGTTTCATGTTCTTATTGTAAGGTTTGCTTTGTTCTGTTAGAGTGGGGCATGAACAAGTTGTACTTAAGTTTTGTCCTTTTGAATTGTATATCTAGCTCAATTTAATTCTTCTTCCGGCATTCTGGACCACTTGTTGGCTTTTGATTCTTAGCTTTTATTTTCTAGAATTGTGTTTCCAGATAAGTTTGGTTTGTACTAACAAAACTTTGTATTTCTACTGTTTGTTAATATTGCTATCATTTTGAAAGATAAAAAATACAAAAAGAAAATCCGATAATCAAAATTTCACGATAACATAAAACCTATTAAGAAAAAGAAAAGGTGATACATTCAACATAAAGGCAGGCTATCTCCAGCTAAAGGTATATATTTATAGGATTAAGAGTAGAAAGAGTTTGATTACAACAAGACTCTCAGAAATAAAACATAGCTAACATCATAATATAACTTTTCAGACATGCTTGCATTAATTACACCGAAAGAGGATTAAGCACTTGGCCAACAAAAAGCACTACGCCCGTCACATCCTCCCTCACCACAAACAAAAACGGATGATCTGCCACGAAATCCAACTCATCCACCTCCACCATCAATGCCCTAAGCTTCACAACCCCAGCAGAAGCAGCTGCAGCCTCCGTACCTTCCTCATTCACCTCAACAAACGATTTGTGAAAAATACTCGAAACATACAAATTCTGCGCAACAGCCGAGTCAACCATCTCAGTCAGACCACCGCCCGAAAACGGAAGGACCAACCCTTGTCCCGTAAGAACCTCAGACGCCTCAAAACCAAAATTTATCTTAAATTTCGGAATGAGAAAATCTCTAACTTTCACCTGCTGGTACGGGAGGTGTCTCTCGATAAACCCAGGTTTCGATGCAACTTTTTCGACCAATGACGAGAGTCCGTCTCTGGCTTCTGGAAGAAAAAAGTGCATCGAGAATTTACGCTTGTCCTCTCCTTGCTTGTACGGTAGGCTCAAAACTTTGAATCCGCTGTGCGCGAGTAAGTACTGCTTCTTTGAGGTGGTCATGAAGGAAGCCTTGACCGAACTTCCGTCTAGGAGGTAAAAGTCGTGGTCTTTTGTGAGGGATGAGTCGAATTTATCGTTCCATGCGCCTTTGAAGTAGACTGCATTCGTGAATATGAGCCTTGTTGTGGAGTCGACTGATCCAGAAGGGAGTAAGTCTTTGATCAGCCCATTTGTTTCCTTGTCCGCCCACGAGTTCACCTCTTGTGTCACCTCAACAGCCTTTGGAAATCGTCAGGGTAAAGAAATTAATGTCAACTTTGTCAAAAATTATTTGGTTTAATCAGCGGACTTATTTACTTTTTTTTTTTTTTGTTGGTAGTATCTTAATAAAGCCGAATCCCTAGGGACACTGCAGGACAGCACAAACTAAACAACAAGCGATGTGCTGGAGGAGCATACAGTGAACAAAAAAACGAATTGATTGAATACAGAATCTAGTTAATTAATATCAAAATATATAGATAGTGTTAACAATCTCTAACTCTGAAGGGTAGCCACTAAGTGTTCATGATAGATCTATGTTCAGGTTATGTAAATGTAGATTGCACTCTCTTTGAAGAGGTAGTGTAGAATAAACAGGGGCATCCATTAGCATTTATGAAATAGGAGAATCATGATCTTAGGTAGAATCTGAAAGACCTACGAAATGAATAATTCATAACTCTTCGAAAACTTAATATTCCAGGACCAATATAGATGCTCAAACACCTAATGAAGTTATTCTTTCATTATAGCTTAGAAAGGTAACGCTTTTTATCAACTCCTTTATACATTGGAACATGCCATAATTTGTATAAGGCCCCAAGACAAAGGAGCAATCAGTACAAAAAACAGAAGTCACCAAATTATCAAGCCCATGTAAAGAGAATAATGGGATCACGGAAGCAGATGGTTTGCTGTTTAAAATGCTAGAGTGCGGAGATTTCTAGAATATATCTTGTTAGTTAAAATCAATACTTCATATTCCCGATTTGAAGTAAAACAATTTCAATGCAATTCAGGGATTATCATCTAGGAAATATAGCCCTGTGATTCAAACGAGTACCCACACGGTTGCTTAAAATTTTCCGTTCTTTACTAACAATTGATTGTTAGTAGCTTACAAACCCCAAATGAACCACTGATTTGGTTCTAATATAGCAAATCTATAGTGGCCCCCAAAATACTGACGCTACCAAAATTAAGTCAGAGCACAGCAACCAGACAAAGTCCCGGCAACAAACTGAAGACCCCTAATTCGGTCTATTTTAACAAGCGTAAACCCAACAACGATGAGGAAGCAAACCTTAGTCTGAAAATCCACATGATTTGAGGAAGCTTTGTAGGAATTCTCAACAATTTCCTTGAAAACGGACTTCAAGGTAAGACTCCGATCGACCCAAACCCCATTGGCGAATGACAAACGGGGCCCACCGAGCGGCCCGCCATCGGCGAACAGCAGGGTGACGAGCTGCGACGATAGCGAGTTGAGATCCTCAACGGACTTGGAGTTGAGATAGCCAAGGAGCTGGTCCCGGGTCGGGCCGCCTGACCCGGCCGCGATGAGGCCCAGCACGACGTGGATCGACAACGGCGAGAATACGAGGTTGGCATCTTTCGGTTTAGTGGAGATGAGATGCTTGGCAAGAGACAAAGAAACGTGGGTTTGTTTCAGGATGGATTCTTGGAGGTCCATTGTTGTTCTTTAGAGTTTTGTGTATGCTAAGGTGTTTTACACTTTTGCGGCGTGATCTACGAGGGGAGTCCTGTCCTAATATTTAGATCGGCTGGGATACTAAAATTAGCTGCTTCCTTTACTTCATTGCTAAGATGTTTACCAAAACGTGTTGCCCACCGCATATCTGGAATATTTAAATGAGGAAATAGTTATTTATGTTAAGTTGTTAACACCGGAAATTATAAATTTAATTTTTTAATTTCATAATGGGCGAAATAAATTATGTGACAACCAAACGAAGATGATAAGTGCAAAATAAATTCAGTAATAAACTACACGATATGTATGCGAAGATAATCGATAAAGTGCGAAAAGTTATGTGATACAATATGCGGTAGACAAACGAAAATAACTGATAAAATGTGAAATATTTATGCGATAAACTATGTGACAAATAGATGAAGATAATTGAGAAAATGCTAATCAAATTATGCGATAAATAATGTGACATACAAGCAAAGAAAATTGATAAAGTGTGAAATAATTTATGCGACAGACAGACGAAGGTGATTGATAAAGTGTGAAATAATTGCACGACAACTTTGCGAAAGAGAGGAGAAGATAATTAATAAAATGCAAAATATTTATGCGACAAACGTGACAGACATATAAAAATAATGGATAAAGTGCGAAATAATTAGGCGATAGGATATGCAACAAACAGACAAAGATAATTGATAAAGTACGAAACAAATTATGAGATAAACAATGCGACGGACAGAAAAAGATAATTGATAAAGTGCGAAATAGATTATGCTACAAACATTGCGATAGACAGGCAAATTGAATATCCTTACTAACATTTATCTGAGATTCACATTGAACATTATTATATTATTGAATAAATAGTTTTCTTTTATTATCACTTTCAAACATAATTAATTAAAAAATATATCTTATGTCACAATCTTCTATTCCGTAACTCTCTTTTGCATTTTTTGTTTTTACCACCCTTTGTTTTTCATTTCATTTTTGATTATCTTTCGTTCTTTATGGTAGCTTAACTCTCCTAAGTAACATTTATCTAAAATTCACTTTGAACATTATTATATTATTGAATCAACGGTTTTCTTTATCTTTCGTTCTTTATGAAATACTTTGCTTAACTCTCCTAACTAATATTTATTTAATATTCACCTTGAACATGATTACATTATTGGATCAATGATTTTCTTTTCTTATCCCTTCCAAACATAATTACTGGAAAATGTATCTTATGTTATAATCTCCTATTCTTTATCTCCCTTTTTCATTATTGTTTTTACCACCATTTATTTTTCATTTCATTCTTGATTAACTTTCTTTTTTTATGAAATACTTAGCTTAACTCTTCTAACTTTTATATAAGATTCACCTTGAATATTATTATATAATTGAATCGATGATTTTCTTTTCTTACCAATTTCAAACATAACTAGTACAAATCCCGTGCGATGCACGGGTAAGAAATATTCCCTAATATTTATAAATTAAAAATTCTCATGAAAAATATTTATAAATTAAAAATATGGAACCAATATCTAATACAATTTGTCTATATTAATTTGTTGAAAATGTTATATGAAATTTAAATTGTGCAAAATTAACATATCTATTTAAAATTAGTACACGGCCCGTACGGTGCAAGTAACTGATAATAAATTACATTATATCCATTTCAAAATAGGTGTCATTTTAAAATTTCTATTCAAAAATTCGATTTGACTACAATATGATTCAAGTAGATACCAAATAATTTGATATGTTTTGTAATATCCCATTCAGTAATTCATAAAAGTAATTATTTCAGTTCTAAGTTAGAACTATTTTACTTTTATTAATAATGATCTTTTATATTTCCAAGCCTTAATAAATCTCTTAGAATTTTATTTTTTTAGTTGTCTCGACATTAAAGTTAAATCAGAATCGTTTTTCATTAAATTGAGTTAGTCGAGTAAATGTTATAAATTGCCTAAGTATTTTATGTGACTTATATGATTTGATAAGTTATAAGGATTAAGTAGAAGTTATTTAGACAAGAAGGTCTATTTATATTATTAAGATTATATTCGAAATTATATTCGCAAGTTTCGAGTTTTTCGATGTTCGGTTGTAGACGATAATTAAGTCCGATTTCGTTTCCGAAAAATTTATTTTCTTGTATCTTTTTACAAGTTTAAGATCATTAATAAGAGTTAAAAATTTTTAGCATAAAAAGGAAAAAGGCCAAGAGCAAAAGATGGAAATCTGAAATTTTCAGAATTTTCGATTTTTCGGTAACCGTTCGTTTTAAGTCAGAATTCGGTTCTGTAAATTGGAGATTTTTCATTAAGTCACGAATTTTATCATGGAAACTAGATTAGGATCACAAGATGGCCCTTTCTAAGCATTGACTATAGATTTGAGAAGTTTACAAGTTATGATTTTTATTCTTTATCTTTATTTATTTTTATAACCATTTTTTTAGTATTCTTAAGCAATAAATGAGCCATTTAAGACTAAATTCGAGCCATAATGGAGGATTGGTCAAATGGAGGAGTTTGTCTTGATATATACAAGATGAATCATGCATTACGAGTACTTTTCAAAGCTTACTCAACTTTGTGCATGATTTTAGAAAAACATTAATGGCAAGGGCCCTAATGAGTTTATTATGATGGAGTATTGATGTGAAGAAGGTGATATTGTCTCCTTTGCTACCCTATATAAAGGGGTATCACCATAGACTCGAAATTCACACAAAAATAAGCAAAGCCTTAGCTATAAAGTGAGGAAGAAAAATCGAGAGAAATCTTGACGAAGATAAGTTGAGATCAACTTCCGAAGTTTCATTTTCAAATTTCTTGAAAAAGGTTAGATGCTACCTTTTTATCATATGTTATAGTAAGTGAATATTGATGTATTTTCATGCCATATATATTTTTAAAGAAATTTTAAGCATGAAAAAAAAAATGATAAGTTGTTTCCAGCACAATCACATGTTATATATGTACTATTTTGATTTGAATTTGAGCATGATATGCATAACCTGGTATGTTAAGCTTATTATGGATATTTCTTGTGTAAGTGCTGAGTATATAAGTGAAAGAATTATGTCATTTGGCATAGTATAGATTGAGTTATAAATTTTTGAAGTTAAGCATGCAAGTTGAATTTTATGTTCTTTATTTCAACTGTGACTTTAAAATTTTAATAACTCGATATATACGCATGATAAAATTATGAAATTTTTACGACATGCTTATATATGGGTTAAGAACATGACTGCCAAATTTCATGATTTTATGTTGAGAAATGAACGAGTTAAAATATTTATATGGCATACATGTCAAGATGATTTTATATGCAAGAGTATTTAGTACATGGTAGAGTTTTTAAAATGGAATTTTTAGAAAAAAATTCTTATATGAGTGGTGGGCAATTTGACCAAGTTTTAGTTTCATATGTTGAGTATACAATTTTATAAAGATTGTTGTAAATCTCACATATTAATATTATGATGAAAAGTTTAGTATGATTTGAGTTATGTTTCACTTTCGAAATAATCAAGTGAAAAATGAGTATAAGCCATATGTATAAGATTTGGGAGAAATAATATGAGTAAGTATTTGATTGAATAAAAGATCAAGAAAAGTTTGAACCATAGCAAGAATATTGAGATTTTATAAGATTTGGATGATTTATCCGAAAGAGATGAAAATCCGAGTATACGAGTATAGTACTTAGTATATTTGTTTACGTATTTTTATGTAGCTTGAAGAGTTAGCTACTCGAGACCAACACTTACGATTTCAAAGGAGAAAGGTGGGGACCCAGACTGGGTATTACATTGAGTATAATATTGTTATCATGTTCGAGGTATGTATACAGTTTAAGTTTATACGCTTGGGATGAGGAGGCATTAATTTGTATTGAAGATTATATCCTAAGTTCTGATGGAGGCGATACGTGCCTTAGAAATATCCATCAGATTGTGCACAAGTATCCGATAATATATCGGCCAGATTAAGTTACAGTTATTATATATATATCAAAGATCATGATATTGTATTATTATTTATGTTTACTTTAGTATGAGTATTAACGGGGTACAAAAGGACCAGTACTCACCCCCATTATGTTTTTCAGGTAACAGGGTCGGGCAGGAGGTGTGAGCAAATAAAGTGGTGGTGATGGTCGAGTACTCATTTCAAAGGACATTTGTAGTAAATGAAATAAGTCTGTATAATTATTCACGTTTTTAAGTAATTCCGCTACGCTTATTAATATGTGAACTTGCATTTTAAATAAATTCAGATTTCAAGTTTTTATCATTTCATAAATATGAACATGATATAGTTAAATGCAAGTATATATATAAATCTGTTTTGTTATGTCTAAAATAAATAATTAGACAAAATTAAAGTTAAACAGATTTTTAGGAAGGAGGAGTTTAACTAGCATCTCGAGTTATTCGCAAAAAAAGATTTCGAAAGAGTTATAAGTAATTTTGAAATAAAAGTTGCGAAAAATTTACTCTGATAAGCGGGGTGCTACAGGTGGTATCAGAGCCAAAGTAAGTGCTATGTATACTAAATGTTTAAGTTTCAGGAAAACCGACCACACCACACTCACACCTCGTCGGCTATCAGGTAAGTGTTGTTAAGTTTTATGAAAGTTTTTGTATAAGCAAATTACTAAGTCTATGCTCAATACGATTCGGATATCCAAATTAGAAAAAAATACTTAAGCAAAGATTTTAAGACTATCATGTTACTCCCAATAAATTTAGAGTTATCAAGTTAATAAATAACTTGTATAGAAATAATGGTTTATCTTGAAAATATGATTGTGTTAAAACTTAATAATGAATTAAAAATCCAGATGGCACGAAGAGTGAACCAAGGTCAAAGAGAGATGACATCAGCAGAAGTAGTTGCCCAGTTTCGTGGTTTCAATGCTGAGAAGTTTTCTGGACAAGGAGATCCTCGTCAAGTGGAGGAGTGGATCCAAGGTTTGGAGTCAATCTTTGAGATTACTGAGTGCTCAGAGAAAAATCGCATTCTCTATGCTCAGTTGCAAATGACTGGGGATGCTCGTCTTTGGTGGAATTCTTACTGGGCCATGCGTCCTAGTGAGAAAGAAAATCTCACTTGGGATAAATTTAAGG